CGTTCATCGAAGATATATCTCCTCAAAACCGAACCGCCGTTCAACACTGAGGGTACATCTGGCTGAGCACAAGAAGTACCAGAAGGAGAATGGGGTCAAGACGGATCCCTCAGGAGCTTCCTCGGCCGGCAAAGCGAGGAGGGGAAAGGGCAATAGGAGGGCAGCCAAAGCAGTCGAAGCACCCGAACCAGCAGAAGCCCCGGCCCCCGCACCGAAAAAACGTGCACGGTCGGCGGCGGCAAAGCCTCCTACGAAAGTCAAAGCGAAGAGGGTCAAGTGATCTCTCGAGTCATCTGCTGAAAGCAGATATTTTGGCCTTGATCGGGGTGGCAGTTCCTGTACTGCCTTCTGCACATGTCAAGTTTGTGCTTCTGATAGCATGCAGCTCCCGATGACGATGTGCGATGCCGCTCACAAGAAATGTGCATAATTGCAAATAACCGTTCATCCTATTCGAACGCTATGCGATGTTTGCTCACTTTGCATGCCAGGTCCGAGTGCAATCGGCCGCAATCTCGCCGAGCAGATTGGCCACGGAGTCCGGCGGTTGTTGAAATTCCCCTTTCTCACCGAAACTACAAAACCCTACATAAGATTCTCCGTATTAACTTATATATAGTGTAAACTACCGGTATTGGGATTTGTGGTTTCGGCACCCCACTCCATTGAATTATACTCATCCCTGGAGGTGCCCTGTCGGCGAGTTCTAGAGACTGCGCGGGCGGTTGTCCAAAGAGATCAATCGCGGGGGCTTCCGACTGGTGATCCTGTGGTTGAGAGGCTAGCGAGGGCTCGCAAGGAACACTCCGTCTCCTAGTTGCAATCTTATGTCGAATAATCTACTCTGGAGCTTCCAAAGTATTGTAAAGCTAAACGATTGGCTGTGGGTCCGTATATATCTCCTGTCGTCGGAGATAACTTATTAATGCATCGTTCACCTGAGGCCAGAGATGCTTATCGTGCCGTATTCAAGCATAAGCTGGGGCTGAATATTCCTTTCACGAAGAGTGAATGTGGGGGAGATGGGGAAATGTTTGAATGGATTCGGCCATCAGACTACATAAAGTTTATGGACGCGAATTCCAAACTTCAGCTGATTCTTGGAGCACCTACTTTAGCACAAGCTGCACCAGCCCTGGAGCTATTCTGGAAGCGCTACGAAGCTGTCAACCCTTCGCATCAAGTATTTCAGAGAGCCAGGGAAGGCCGATTGGTTTTGAACCAAACCCTCCCTTTCTATTTCCATGCTGACGAAGGGAGGACTCTGAAGAAGAAGCCGGTTTTTATCATCCAATGGCAGCCATGTTGCGGTAAAGGAGTCGGCCGAAAGAACAGTGATGCTCTGATCCAGGCTAAGCTTGAGGAGCTTCGCCTACAACCGAATTTCAAGGGGCACACCTTCGTGACAAGGTTTTTGGCTGGCTTGCTGTTGGGTTCGAGCTACGCTGACAAGCCTCAAGTTCTCAGCGATCTTATTGAGCACATTTGTTTGGATATGAGGGACCTTGGGGACAATGGTATTCAGCTGGCTCAGGGGCATCTTTGGTTATGCCCGATTGGCAACAAAGGGGATTGGAGCTACCTAGTCCAGGTGGCAAATCTGACGCGAAGTTATCGAAATGCCCCGAAACGTGCCTCCTCGAAGGCGCCCGACAAGTGCATTTGCCATCTGTGTATGGCCGGGGCACCAGCTTTCCCATATGAAGACATGTGCGTTGCTCATATTTAACATATTTTCTCGCTAAATTAATACATAGCACTGGTTGTATATGTTTGTTGCAATACCTCATATAGCTCTAGGCTGTGTCAATGAAGATCGAACAACCAGGAGTGAAAACGCCAAGTTTACCCATACGATGCCTGTGCTCACTATGCCGTGGACTACGGAAGCCGCATGGACGAGACTGCTACTGCATGACCCAGAAAACAAACCTGCGTTTCACAAGGTGGACGTGTGGCACAATATGCAGTTGGGACAAGGGAAAGCATTCTGCAATTCTGCGCATCGGCTATGATTTCTCTCCTCCCGTATTTCGAAGGCTCGAATGTTGACTTGAGGTTTTCGACCATGTTCGAGGAGTTCAAGAAGTTCTGCAAGGCTTGGCAATCATCAATATGACTTTAGAACTCTTCCTCTTATTCGAATGACCCTTTTCAGATCAAAGTCCTGGTCGGCCCAGATCGCAGAAAATTCGTTTCGATAATGTTGCATTATAATATATAAGCTTGATGCCCATAATCCTCTGGGTTAGATTTCCCATATCAGGCTATCGGCGAACAGACCTACCTTCAGAAGTTTTCGCCTGATACTGTCGGTTGCGCACAGTCGATGCTGGATGTGCCGGATGGTCACTGGCACAAAGGAGGAGTCACCACAAATCTTATGCGGTTCATCGACTATTGGTGCGAGGACAACGAAGACCTGGGGGCCGATGATGAGAATTTCCAACTCATTGTCGCTTGACCTCGACCAACCTTTTGCGAGTAAACGAATTACAAAGTAATTTCATATTATATTATGTTATGACACCCGAGTTTGGATTTCTAAGGCAGGTGCGGCAAAGGCCGTGAATGCAGCGCTGAGTGAAATGTATACAGGTGATATGTGGCTGTCACCGATCGAAGCGACAAGGATTGCCAACCGAGGCTTTTATTTCCTTCGTGCATATGCCAAACTGGCATACAACTACAACCGCTCTGGCTTCACACGCTTTCCCTTGTATCCGAAAGCTCACATGCTCTTCCACACATTCTATGGACTTCTAGTGACTGCGAAGCAGGGAAAATACTCCCTTAACCCCGTGTGCGAAAGCTGCCCACAAGATGAAGATTTTGTGGGCCGTGTGGCTCGGATCAGTCGTCGTTGCGGTACAAGGGCCATACAGCCAAGTGCACTACGGCGATATTTGATCCATTGCCGAACAGTGTGGACGCATGAGCTGTACTGAGCAGACAAAATAAGCGCTTGGACACCAATACATGCGGCTGAGATGTTTCAATGTGAGATTAATGAGCTTTTCCGTGAATAATTGGCAACCACCCGAATTCCTAGAAATTTGCACGAATCCAACAACAACAAGATTTCCTAGAAACATTAGGATGATCTAAGAAATTCCCCACCCCGGGTTCCGCTGGTATGTGTATGTGTATGTGTATCTGTATCTGTATCTGTATGTGTATCTGTATATGTATATGTATATGTATATGTAAGGCTCAGCAGCAGGGTGCCCCCTGTGTTGGGTTTGGTGTTCTGGGTTCTTGGTTTTTGGTTCTGTGGGCCTTCGGCTTTTTCGGGGTTTTGGCCTTTGGCCTACTCGTGCCATGGACCTTGGTACAAGGAAGTTTTCTGTGTTGCGCTGGAGCTGTGTGGATGGCGCTATGATTTCCACCAGCACTTGCAACAAGATACCGCAGAAGCTGCAGTACCTCGGAGGCCGCGTCGGGTGGCTGCCGCTTATCTGCTCCTGTCTTCTCGGGCTGCATTGCTTTTGATGCAGGAACTGGACCCAGGAACTTGCAGCAGTGGGCTGCCTATACACCACCCGGGACCCCTCTCAACAACGCTGCCTAGCCCTTGCTTGGTCCCAGGTTTGTCGATGGCTACACCTGGTCAGGTCAGCCACACAGGCTGGCTGCATTGTGCCGCCCCGTCTCTACAGTCGGTATTTTGGGCTCATAACCACTCAGGTCCGCTGTGCATGCTGCAAGCCACCCCTGCACTCGAAGCGCTCAGTGCCACCAGTGCCTTTCCGCACCTGCGGAGCCGCTGGCACCAAGCTTCCAGCCGGGCCTCAGGACCATCTGCATGCAACAGCCTCTGGCTTCTACAGCTTAGGGCGCCCGACGGCAGGCTTCGCCTCACGCCACTAGCGAAGCAGCTCCTCCGTATGCAGCAAAATCTTACCTCTGCTTCGGACTACACGTACTCGGCCACTGGTAATCGCTGCGCTTTCCCCGACCCGCCTTGGACCAAGTATCCTTTACGACCTTGCCTCCCGGATTTTGAGATTGGTTTCCTCTCAGGCCGCTATGGAACGACGATCATGCAGATGGACGCCGCCATATCCAACTTGAAACCATGGATTAGGTATGGGCTCATGCGTCAGCTCCCACCTGTGACTGCCGGTATTAGAAATGCAGGCTGTTCTCGCACAACATCATGCAGCTACCCTGTGTTGGATGCATTTCCGGGAGTTCAAGCGATGCCTGTTGCATCACTTTACTTCTGCTTCCATCGAACCGTAGTCTGTGATCCCTCTGCCCAGTCTCCTTTACAGGGCCGGTGCCTCAACCTTGCCCTCCTGCCGCGTGTGTCCCTGCCTGGCCGACCAAGGTTCGAGGCTTCCTCGCCTTGGGTCTGGCCCTCGCAGTCACGTCCTGCTTGGCTTGAGGTCCTCGCCGGAAGCCCAGCATTTCTTGTCACTGTCTGCCGTTGTCCCCTACGCGCTCAGGCTTGAGGCTTCCTCGCCGGGTGCGCTGCCCTCAGCCTTATGTGTTGCTCGGGGATGCCTGAGCCTCAAGCAGCCCCCATCACTCAGCCTGTCCTGTGCCTGCAAGTGCTCTCCGTGGATGCATCTGCTTGATTCCCCGCAGCCCTGGGCTCTGCGCCTTGTCTTGCCTCCTTTCGAATGGTGTGAGGCCCCAGCATCTGAGTGCCCTCGCCCTTGTGAGTCCGGGTGCGACTGGCTGTGCTCTGTGTGCTTTCAGCCTGTACTTCCGACATGCCACCCAAGAAGGCGAAGCGGAGGCGACACCACTCCCCGACGGCGGCTTCTGCGAGTTCGGCTCCTTCGGGGCGTGCGGATGCGCCTACCATGCGACCTATGGGTCCGCCACCTCCACTGCCGGTCAACTTGCCGAAATCGGCCAAAGCAGGGGGGATGCCCAAAGCCGGAGCAGTTGCGACACCAGCAGCCAGGAGGCCACCAGCGTCGAGGCCACCAGCAACGAGCTCACTACCAGGTGCACCTTCCAGGACTCCGGCGCAAGCTCCCTCTCCGGCTGCTGTGGTCACTACCGGTACGACCAGAACCATTGCAGTGCCACCGGGGCCAGCGTCGCCAATAAAAGGACCCACAGCGGGGCTGGCCTCTGCTACCTCTGCCGCGGACCAGACATTCCGAGTCACCCCTGCAGGCAGTGTTGTCACCATTCCGCTGCCTCCAGCTGGCCTGCAATATGTCATCTCCGTCATGCTCCGCTTTCATCCTCGCCATCGCCGTCGCCGGCAAGCCGAGGACCATGAGGTGTATCAAGGAGGCCTTTGTGCACATCGGGCTCAGCGAGCTCTTGGCGAGTGCTCTTGCTGGGCAGTTTTGTGGAGCAACCACACAGCCAATAGTGCTCCTCTGGTCGGCTGCCGGACCTACGGACGGGTCCTGCTATGTCGTGCAAAATGCTCGGGCGTGCGCCTTCTGGTGTGTATGCGACTACCCTGCCTGACTAAGCCATCCCTTGTAGACACAGCCTGCAACTGCCATCCTGCCCAGGTAGCCGTTTCTCCGGACATCGGTGTGCCTGCCTGGCAGCGTGCTGGGGCCTTTGTTCTCCGGCCCCATGTCTGCGTGCTCCATGCTGCAATCTGGCCTGGCCCACGCATGGGTGCCTCACCTCCTCAGGGCTGTCACTGTGCGCACTCTGGCCGTGCTGTGCCCTTACGGCCGCGACCTAAGCTGCCAGCCAAGCGATATGCCGACCGCCTCTTCTGTCCTGCCTCATGCTGTACTGGTACCTGGGTGACTTGTGCTGTCTCGTGTCGGCTCAGATTCTCCTCCAAAGCCCTTTCTTGCTCCTCTTGCGGGCCCTCTACCCCCATGTCTTCGAGGCAACAGAAGCGCCAGGCTCGACAGCGGTCCAGACCTGTGCCCGAAGAGCGCCCTCGTCTTCCCCTGGGTGATGACTCTGACGAAGTGGCCTCCACCATCAGAGCTGCTATCAGAGCTGGGGACCCTGTGCCACTCCGCTGTCTTAACTACTACCGTGAAAGGGATGCCCTGACTACAGACGATGTTGCTTTTCTCCAGTACATGACCTGGAGAACTCGTCCGCCGCCAATGACGGTCTTCTTGAAGCACACCATCAAGTCAGTCAGAGCAGGCCCCCTAGAGGTCCAAGAGCGCTCATCGAAGCGCTTCTTCAACATCCAGCTCCAGAAGGCACGGTCGACCAGCTCCCTGCACCAATGGAGGACACCACTGCCAGTCCATCTATGCCGGTGCTGTCTGAGTCGGTCACCGATCTGGACTCTGACATGGCATCCGACTCAGCACCAGGCCGCTCCAGCGCTACCCGGGCTACCAGAAAGCAGCCGAAGAACAAGCAGCCGAAGCTCAAGAAAGGCACTGGCCATCGATGGTCACAGCTCGGGGGTGCCGGACTATGACCCCGATTTTATTCCGGATCCGTCTCTTCGCCCGCGAACTCGCAGCACATGGTTTGTACAGACAGATGCTGATGCGAGTCCGGGACTGCGTCCCGGTGCTGACAGTATGGCAGAGACTTCGATGCGCACGGAGGCATACATGACTGCGCTGCACGAGCTGCCGTTCCTGCTTCAGTGTCTGCCCTTGACCCCACATCATTGGCATTTCTGCCTCCAAGGTCGGCTTCCCTCGACTGTCTTCTTCCACTGTCGTTCTGCGGGTGCGCTTATGCTACGGCCTTCGCCTAAGATGTGCTCGCCTGCGAGCTGCCTCTCGCCCCAGGCTCCGTGCTCGACCTCGCCGTCGTCATCAGCATCGCCCTCGGCAACCAAGGTGCTGGCCTTGCCTGCTCTCTAAGCTGCAAGGTCTCTTCCCTGCGCGACACCTGCTGTTTCGTGCTTTCAGAACCCTAACACGCCAAACCCCATCTTCGTGCACTGCTGCGCCCGGTCCCAAGTCCGGGCGGGACTTTCTGCATTCGGCGCCGCCTTTTCTCTGTCGACTCTGTCTTCCTCTACTGCTGCCCCACTTATGCGCCTCTATGCCTGTCCCTGAGCCGAGGGTTGGAGGCACTGGCAGTCGCCATCCTGCTGAAGCCGTCCAACACGGACGACATCCTCGCATCTCTCTGGCAAAGCCATGCGACTCCCTTGTCGCTTCTATCCCCCGTCTTCCTCGATCATCCTTTGCCTCTTCAGTTCGAAAACGTGCTCTCCAAAAAGGGCCCTCTCGAGGGCAGATCGGTGCGGCAGTGCTATGTACCGTGATCATCGCATTGAGGGCGGCTGCTCTATGCTGCCAAGGCCCACTTGTTCAACGCGGGTGCGCCCTGCCCCTGCACATCGTGAGCCCCCCAGAATCCACTTTCTCAGCTGGAATGCAGGCGGATTGTCTAGCGAGCGCTACCAGCAAGTTGCCCTGCGTGGCTCCGTACTCAAGGTCAGCACCTGGCCATTGCAGTGATTCAGGAGACACACTGGGCGTCCGACTTGACTTTCAAGATGGAGGGCTGGCAAGCTCTTGCCTCGCCCAGCCAGGACCGCGTATCTGGCATTCTCGTGCTTGTGAATCTCCGATTCTTCCATCGGGACCACATACAGCTCACATCCATCATTGAAGGCAGGCTGGTCCACCTACGCCTTGAAGGCGACCCATCCCTGGATGTGGTCATTGTGTATCAGTTTCTCTACTCCAGCACCAAAGCACTTCCTGGCGCAGCTGGCCTGGAACAGGCCCTGGTCAAACGTTCTTCACTTTGGACCAAACTGCACCAGACCCTTGCTAGGTTCCCACGTTGAAACTCTGTGCTGGTGCTAGGGGACATGAATACAGATTTGCTTCCTGACCCACCATGCGTTGGGCAGGGTGTACGTACCCGCCTCAGCCGGCTCCCTCCGGATCAACAGGAATTTCAGCAATTGGTTCGTACCTTCTCGCTTCAGGCTCTCAACACTTTTGGCCGTGCGGGAACTCACGCTCAGACTTTCCTGCCGGCCACCGGCGGCAGAGGCACGCAAATAGACTTTGCGCTAGTGCGCCAAACCACTGCCGATGGTGTGGCCAGGCGAACTGGGCCAGTTTGGCTGCCTTTTGTTGACTCTACTAGGCTCCGGCACCTGCCTCTTCTGGGCTCTATACTCAGACCTGCCCTGCCCAGGCAGGCCAAGCAGCCACGCTCACCATCATTGTCAGATTTCAGGCGCATGCTCGGGTTTCCTTAGAGCACGCACAGCCAGAGGATGTCTCTGACTGCCTCCTGCAGGCCTGGAAACATACAGCACCCACTCCTCCCACTGCCGACCGGATCCATAGTCCGAAGACTCAGCTGATCCTCCTCCGTCGTGAACGTAGTTCTTTTGTGCAGCAGCAGGCTCTCCTCGCCTCTCTGGTCTGGCCCAAGGAGGAGGAACTGAAAGAGGCCAGCAAGAACCTCAAACTGCTATGTGCCCAAAACAAGCAGTTTAAAATTCAGCAGATCCTACAGGAGGCGGAGCAGGCTGCCCAAAAAGGTCTCACAGCCGTCTACCAGGTGGTGAAACGTCTTGCCCCCAAGACCTCTCACAAGCCGATCCTTTTTCGAGACCCACAAGGCGTTCCCCTCACTACGACCCAGGAAGCGCAGGCCTTGCAAGAATACTTCCGACGCCTCTATCGCTCCTCCTCGCCGGAGCCTCATGAGCCGGGTAACTCGTTCTCTCCTTTTGATGTTGAGGAGCTTACCAATGCCGTTGCGCAGCTTCCCTGTGGCAAAGCCCTACCGTCTTGGCTTGCACCGGCCCCGCTCTGGTCCCTCGCTGCTGAACAGGTGGCCACTGCCGGTCACCCCGCGCTGACCCCATGGCTGATGAACATGGCTGCGCCCATGCCGGGGCAGTGGCCTAAGTCTTCGCTGTGCCTCCTCGCCAAACCGGCCAAGCCTCCGAAATGTCCCGAGAATCTCAGGCCTATTGCCCTTCTTCATCCGGTTTCAAAATGTCTGGCGAAACTGACGGCTGGCCTTCTGCGCCCAACCGTGCAGCATCTCGCCACTCGTTTTCCCCAGTTTGCTTATGTTGGGGGCCGATCAGTGGAAGATTCTATCGAACGAGCTTGTTCCCATTGCGCTGCCGTTCGCACGGTTCTCGGTGCGCAAAAGTACAATATATTCATCTCCGGCGTCAGGGGCATGCTGCGGGGAAGTGCAAAGGGGGGATCACCCTCTCTTTGGACCTCTCTCGTGCGTTTGATTGCTTGCCAAGAGAGGTCTTGCACAAAGCTCTTGTCTTCGCGGCTGTGGAGCCTACACTTATAGACCTTATTCTTCACATACATCGTCACGCCACACTTAGCATTGCACACAAGTCACACTCCATTGATGTTGAGCTTCATTCGGGCGTGCGTCAGGGTTGCAGCCTGTCTCCTGCATTGTGGAGTATCTTCATCTGTTACGTCCTCCACCTCCTGAGCGAAAGAATCCCTCTCTCTTGCCTGACAGCATTCTCGGATGATATTCTTTCGCAGTGGCAGGTCCATGAGCCTGACGATATTCTTCGCAATTTGCAGGACATTGCGTTCATCATTGACACTTTAACCTCTCTTGGTATGTCAGTGAGTGACTCCAAAACGGTCATCCTTGATGGTCTCCGGGGCCCTGCCAAGTCCAGACTCCTGCGTCCTCTTCTGCAGCGCCACAAGGACAAGGGTCCCTGTCTCCGTGTGATGTGTGCTGCTGGCTTGCCCTTTCGCAAACAGCATCCCTACTTGGGCATAGTGCTCAGCTACGACTGCTTTGAGAAGCTATCCCCCCAAGCCAGAATCAAGCAAAGCTGGGCGAACTTCAGCCGCCTCTTCTCGTTGCTTCGTTCCAAGCACATCCTGCCCAAGCAGCGCTTGCAGCTCTGGACTGCATGTGTCTTCTCCACACTGAGGTATGGCCTTACCAGTACCGGTCTCCCTCGAGGCCCAGACACTATCCGCCAGATCGTGGCCAAGCAGGTCCGCCCAGTCCTCAAGTCCCCCAGCTGGATCACCCAGGAAACCACGTCGGATCTTCACGCCAGGTTCCGCCTTCAGGACCCTATCGTTCAGCTGGCTGCTCAACTGCAGGCACGTCAGACTCGTCCCTCTCTGAGCATTGAGGCCTTCGATACACCCGAACGGCTGCGTTGGCGTGCTGCCCTCCCAGCCTCTTTTGCGGCTGATCCTCAGGTCCATCAGTCTCCTTCCCTCGATGTGGTCATGTAGATATCTCGGGCACCATTACGCGCGTATTCACCTGCCCGCACTGCCCGCAAACTTTCCCTACCTTAATTGCTCTTCGCACCCACTGCACCAAATCGCATGGCAAACCGTCCGCCCTGGACGAGACGCCTTCTGCGGAGGCCAATGCTGCTGCGTTTGCCAAGACCACGCAGACCACCAACCCGAGCACGGCTGGCGCTCTTCTGGCCCCTCCCACTGATGGGCCTGTCTCTCAACCGCGTCCTTCGCAGCAGGAGTTGCGTGCTAGGTTCATGCATTTCGCCAAGGACGGAATGCCTCACTGCGCCCTGTGTGATCGGAAGTTTGCTGCCTGGCCACCTTTCCTGAACCACCACTACACCCATTCCTGCCCTGCTCAGGTTCATGATGCTGCTGCACCTGATGCCTCCTCTTGTGCTTCGGCCGCGAATCTGGAAGCTGAGCGCTCTGTCCCTGACACTGCACCAGCTCCACAGGCTGACCCCTCCTCCTCTTTGGCTCTGCCCTCAGATGCGCTGCCGCTCCTTCACCGTCCCGAAATACGTGCTCTAGCACTCCAGGATGATTGGCAGCCCCTGGCTCAACGCCTTCGCTCCATACATACCGACCACGGTCTGCGGCACTGCCCTGTTTGCCATCAGTGGTTCGCCCGCACACAGGATATCTTTCGGCACTTGAAACGTCAGCACCCGCTACCTGTGCTTCAAGAATCTATGCGTGCTGACTGGCTCACAGCTCGTACGGCTGCTGCCCGCTCTCCCTGTAGCTGGTGCAGACTGACAGTGTGCAACAGACCATCACCTTGCGCCTCCTTGTCCGTCATGAGCTTGGCCTCCTCACAGGCTCTGGGCAGCGGCCTCTCTCTTCAGGAGGTCCAGAAACGGGAGGCCCAGGTCGAGTTGCAGCTCCTTCAGTGCTGGGGAGAGAGTCCGATGGATCTGGACGTGGCGAACAAGCGCCAAAACGAGACGGAGGACGTGGACCAGGAGAAGGAACGGGACACGAAGTGGCACCGGCCGGAATCAAAGGGTGGTTTCGGCCGAGGCGGACGGGGGAAAGGCAATCAGTCGGGCCACCCTCCCAAGAGCAACGGGCCTCGTCGACAGCCGTTTCGGCGAGCACCGGAGTCGGAGGCCAAAGCTCCAGAAGGTATGATGTGGCTGCTGGGCAAGCTCCTCTTGCGCCACGAGGATCAGATGGGCATCGACCGCACTCAGAACGGATTTGTCATGTTCTTCAAGCGGGAGAGCGCTCTATCCCTGGTTCCTCAGTTCGTGCAGAAGTCTCAGCACTGGCATGCTCTGAAAGAGCAGAAGCAGGAGAAGATGGACGAGATTGCTCTCCCTCTGAGGACCTTCCTCTTCCACACTATGTTGGAGGCCCTGGTGAAGCGCATCAAGGATACGGTGAAAAACGACGAGCAACTGAAGACTGCTACCATCCTTCAGGTATTCCTTCCGAAGGAGGGCGAGCTGGAGCTGCGCGTTCCCTTCTTGAGCTACAACCCAGAGACCAAAAAGCCTTTTTCCCTCTATTCGGGCTTTCGAAAAGCATCCGGGCTCTCGGCTTGGCCTTGGGCGTGCCAGTCACCGTCTCACCGTGACTCACTTGTGACTTGTCTTTGTACGGTGCTTTTGCGCTGAGTCTCAAGAAAAACCCTAACCCTAAGATTTTTAGGATGACTTTTCATGTAAGGAATCCAGGCAAAGTTCACCCTAAACAACCATTGCAAAAAAACCAACTCTCTACTTTAATTTTGTTATGATTAGATTCTTCTTCTACTTTCTTTCATACTATCTTAGGGTTGCGGTAGGAGAGAAAGCTCTAAGACTACAGATCAGCAGGCCTGCATTTTTCAAGCAGGCAGTCAGACTGATAAAGACTGCCAAGTCAAGTGGCAGTTGATGGCCGGCCAGTCAACTTAGGTTGCAATTGAAGCTGAATCAACAGAGCTGGCCATACAACCAGTAAACGATTTCCTGCTAGCTTGGCAGGCTTTGTGTGCCGATATGCGAGCTGAGTCGTCAAGCCAAATCGTTGTTCGAGCTGCATCCTGCAAGTTCGCGACACTACACATCAGGTGCGACAGTTTCAGTTCTGGTTGCACACCTTGCCGGAACTCACTTTTGTGTTGAGGTTCCGCTCGCGATGGGATTATGCTCTGACTTTCCATGATTGTTTCAGAAAGTGAGAGCTCTCTGCAAGCACGGTGCTCTGAGATGACGGCTGGTCCGCAAACATGATAATATGTACATATGTATATATGCACTAATACTTGCTTTAAAAATGTACAATCGTTTGTTGTACAATATATATATATATATATACACAGACATGTATACAGAAATATATTATATATATACATACACACACATACATACATACATACATACATACATATAATAAACATAATATATATATATATATATGTATATATATATATATATATATATGCCGTAGATGGATTGACCGTGCACGGCACTCAGAGTTCCGGGTCCGTGGCACTGACAGACCAGATCTTTCGTAGAAGACTTGTTCATCGAGCCTAGCTCTGGTTTAAGTGAAAAGAGTACTTTGTCATCATACAGTCCAGGTCCACTGAGATTCATCCTGTGTTTGTGGGTCACAATTGGAGGCTGTCAGCACTTTGCATTCTGGGGTTTATTCAGAGACTAGGCGCCTCGGGTCTTAGTTAAGTACACATGGATAATATCCTTTGACTAGTAGGCTTGGTCGGGCTAGCTCTTAAAAGCTAAGCTTGAATCTAAGCCCGTCGGGTCTTTAGCGGCTGCCGCTGAAAATCATAGATATCCCCTGAATAGGGTTATACTAAATTAGCTCAATAATTAAGAACCCAATAAAACCGAAAACCCCAAACCCCAAAACCTAAACCAGAGTCAAGCTCCTGGCGACGAGCATGATGGTCCGGGCCCCAGAGTGCAGCTTGGGGTTAGGGTTTAGGGGTTTAGGGGTGTCGCCCTCCGTGGCGTTAGGGGTTCTCGCCCTTCGTGGCGTTAGTGGTTTTCGCCCTCCGTGGCGTTAGATTAGGGGTTTTCGCCCTTCGAGGCGTTAGCGGGTTTCGCCCTCCGTGGCGTTAGCGGGTTTCGCCCTTCGTGTTAGCGGGTTTCGCCCTTCGTGGCGTTAGGGTAGGGGTCGTGGTGTAAGGGGCGGGTGGGGTTTCGGCCGCGTGTTAGTGGAATGAGTGTTTGGGGTTTCGGGCTGGGGGGTTGTGTGGTTTCATTGGTAGCCTTGAGATCCGCAGAGTAGTTGGAGCATCACTTAACATCATTGCAAGATCTCAGGCCCTGGACTTGTAAGTATTGCTTCTTCTTGGACTCGCCCCGGAATATGCCACAATGTTGCTGCTGAGGCCGGATGTGGAATTGGCTTCCGGTGCTGCGGCTGCTGGCAGAGGACCGATTCCGTGCATCCATTGCCACTAAAGCAGAAGATGCTATGCTGAAGCATTCTTGTCCGGAGATGTGGCACGCACAACAGTGACTCACTGCATGCCTTAAGGCTTGCTCAGTGTCAGGGCAACATGCATGGCATCGTAAACCAGGTTACATTGGGGAACAAGGGTTTAAAGGTCGTGTTGTCACGGCTCCATACCCTTCAAAACTTAAAGCCTTGGCTATCGTATCTTGCTCGACTTCAAGCCCTAGCTCCTGTCCACTGTGCCTCTTCACCACATCCGAACTATAAGCCGCCCGAATCCCCAACCCGCCGGCCGCGATGCCTTCGGTGTACGATGCCTGGAGAAACCTGTATCATTCTGGTCAGCGCGGTGGCTGGAACAAGCGCTCCAAAGCCAAGGCTCCTGGAGGGCGATAATTAGCTAGTTAGTGGAACTTAACTTACTCTGTCTGACAGTGACAGTAGACAGGCTCAGGGTCATTGAGTAACGTTTCTTGAGCACAGGCGGCTCCGAAGCTCCCAGCCGCTCGGAACAGTGAAACAATCATTTGATGCTTTATTGTTTGGCAATGCACTGACTGTAGAAAGATATTAATCTATAATAGTAAACATTCTTTAGCTTGGACCTTTCAACTCGAAATTAATCCGAGGCGGTGATCGCACCTAGACCTCCGGCGCCTGATCCCGTGGATGCTGCTGTTCCGGCAGAGGGCGTGGAAGCTGTGGAGAATGCGCTTCTCCGTGCGTGGCAGTTCAGCCAACAGGTGCAAAGACATAGTACATAAAGTAAACTCCAGAAACTATTCAAGATCATCATAAATTCCCTTCGAGGTGTCTGGCGGGCTCGCATCGGCTTCGAATGATTCTGCTGGAGAGCATGCTATTCCTGCCGCGGCTGCCGCTGCTGAAGCTGGACCTTCGAATGATTCTGCTGGAGAGGATGCTATTCCTGCCGCGGCTGCCCCTGCTGAAGCTGGACCTTCGAATGGAGAGTATGCTATTCCTGCCGCGGCTGCCCCTGCTGAAGCTGGACCTTCGAATGGAGAGGATGCTATTCCTGCCGCTGCTTCCGCTGCTGAAACTGGACCTGGAATCCCTGCGCCTGGACCTGTGATGCCGCCGGTGGCTGACCCATCGGCGTCGGATGCTCCTGCTATGCCTGGCGCTGGGGAGGTGGATCAGCCTCACACTGAGCCTGATGCTGTGCCAGTGCCGGAGTTTGCGACTTGGCTTTGGATCCTTGAGAAATAAGTTTCGATTGCCAGTGCCTCACACAATCATTGCATTATTTTAAAGCTGCTTTGGGTTCTTCTGAGGTTTCAGCTGCTGACAGCAGTCGTGGTTTCCTGAGCGAGGTGCGGGCAATGCCAGTCATTATACGGCAGCATGGCATGACATCTGGCTGGATTGCGATGGAGACTGCGAGCGGTTCCGTGTACTGGTGCAACCCAGAAGGAAGGACTACGACGTTCAGACGCCCGCATTTGCTGAATGAGGCCGTTCTTCACACGGCGATGGATGGCGAGGCTTGCTGCCCTCCGTGGCAGCTTTGGTCGTTCTACGCCGTTCCGCTGGACCTGCCAATGTGTGAAAGGTTCTTCTGGTTCAACCCGGAAAGCAGCCACACCGCGCCGTTCCAGATGTTCGAGCCTGGGTAATTCCTCATTACAGACTTTTGTTTAATTTATTGTATTACAAGGCCCGAAGCTTTCAACATCCATTTCAGTTTGAATCCAACGTCTCAGGAAGCTGAGTTCAGAGCACTCGAGGCGGAGATTCGTCTGAGTCGCAAAAGACAGCGGCAAGCTGAGGACGAAGCAGCTGCCGAAGAATTAGCCAGGCGAGAGCGAAGGTCGAAGCGGAAGTGATTAATTGTCAATAGGCTAAAGCGGCTAAAGGTTCCTGGTTGGTCCCTGACATGGAATCCGGAATAGCCTGGCAGTCTAGCGCTGTTATTGTTTGGCGGCCGCTGCTCTCGCCTCCGGTCTCACCTAGTTTTGTGCGAGCTGCGTGTGCTAGCTGACCAAACCAGACCATGGGATGTCATTCATTGCTGCAATCTCAATTGTTGGCCGTCCGGGGCCCTGACTGATTCGCCCTGTTGTGAGGACACTTGGCACTTCGATTGCCCGGCTGGCGTGATGTCCTCAGCTTCAAGTTTGGTGCAGGGATCTGCGTGCAGCCTCATGTCAGTCAGTCAGTGAGTGAGTGAGCGGTGTCAGCTGAGCTAGTCAAGCGGAAGCCTTAATTGTAACGATAAACACCAGATCCCTCAACCCTGAACCTTTATCAAACTCTGGAACCCCTTTGGTGGTTTTGTCGAGGTCGTCTGCTGCGTGCTGCAATGGTCATCAAGTTCAAGATGGCCTGGGCCTTGTCGTGGCTAGATGCACAACCACAGCCTTGCCTGATTGCCCTACGCCCTAAACTTAAAGCCCAAAAACCAACTGACTGACTGAGTATTTACATTGCCAGTGGTCGTCATTCATTCTGAGTTTGTCTGCAAGAGACAGCTTCTGATTCTTCTTCGCCAGATTACATTACTTCTGATTCTGACGACGACCTAGGCTCCGACAAGCTTCGACTGGTGCACTTCACCGTACGGCCCTCGATCGGAGACCAGCCTTGCGAACGTCGTGGCATGGGCATGCTTGATGATTATGATTCTGATGCCTGCAGTTTTGGGTTCAGGGTATTAGGGCTTTTGGCGTTTGGGGATTAGTGGCCTCCGGCTGAAACTCCAGGCGCCGCTTCTGAGTCTCACGAAGCCCTGTGATTGCGTCTGTTATTGTCCTATGTTTGGCAGGGGTGATGCCATCGGCGTTGAAGGCCGTCGAGCGTTTGAGTGACGATGAGTGTCCGTCTGCGGCCCGGCGAATTGCTGCACTTCACTTCAGCGAGATTGGTTATGGATGGATTGTGATCTGCTGCTTAGGTCTGGGATGGATGTTGCGGATGACTCGGTGTCGGATGATCCTGGAATGGATGTGTCGGGTGCCCAACAGGGAAGCATAATATTAGAGTCGGCGTTTTCTGCTGTTGCTCCTGCGTGCACCGCGTGCAGGGCGGAGCCCCTTCAATCCGTTGAAATGCACCGTCCAGCGAAGAAGGCATCCTGCGTTGACTTGAAATTCACATGCAATTCTGAACTCTGGTTCTAATTCGCACACAATGTTTGCCAGGCAAGACGACGTATGGACTGCCATCGACTTCCCAGCTTCGGCTGCTGCTTGTGGGGACGCTTGCCAGACGGGGAGTTGGACATCCGGGCTTGGAACCCATGCTGTCTTCCAGAAGTGGGCGACATCGAGATCAAGCTTGCCACTCCAACAATCATACTGCCTGCAGTGTTGAAGCCATGCCTCAGGAGTTTAGCTTTCATGTCTCCTCGGCTCCCAAGGTGCCGCCCAAGCCGGACAAAGGGGTAGAGTCCACCTCGGAGATCCTCCTCAAGCCCGTGGTGTTGCACAACTGGGGATGCTTAAGCCCTGCACTCAGTGTCAGTCTTTCTGTCACTGTCAGATAGCAATAACATTAATTGTATGGCTCCTGCTTCATGATCAGGACTCTTCAGCAGCACGCGAACAGCCAACACGAGATATCTTTCGATTCGCGCCAAAGAAGACCTCGCGAACATGGTGTACCATTGGGAGGATTACCAACGTGCCTGTAAAGACATGAGCGTGCCGCGGCAACGCTGCCTGACTGTCCGCCTGGGAGAGTACTTTTCAGGCGGGGCGTTGTTTATTACCGACTTTGTTCTGAGTTCTGAGTACATAATAATAGCGGCCCTGAAGCCAGGATTACCACCGGGATGGACAAAGCCCGGTAGAAAAGCGGTCGACCCCGACGTCTTTTTCCAGATGTTCCCTTGGTTGCTACCGGCCTGAACCTTAACGATGCCTCGCTTTGTCCTATCCGATGCGCAGGTAGTAATTCGTTTAATTTTGGATGCCTTCTGAATCTTCAGGATTCCACGCTGCAGACCGTGCCTGTGCTTTCACTTTTCAGTGGCGTATTGGGCTTGGAGTTGGGACTTTCTGAGCTGCAGCCTGAGAAACTCACAATGAGAAGGTAGCCCTGTCATGCAATGCATGGAAGGAGGGATTATTCAGTCATTGTCATCGGTCTTGAACTTGGTGTCGTGTCAGGTTCGTGCATGCCGCGGCCTATGCCGGGGCCTTGGGGCTTGTCATCGAGAGCGTTTGGATAGAACTTCAACCGCGGTGCTAAGGTGGAATGTGACCCCCTGTGTCGGGAGATCATATCCGCTCGCATTGACGACGGGCTAATCAGGAAGGCCGCGCTCATTGGCGACGTGCGGAAGTACACCCCGGCCACGGAATCCAATGACTTCGCCGGCATCACGGCAGGCTTCCCCTGTCAGGTGGCTTGCATAAGATCAGACAGATTGAAACAATTTTCGTGTCCGCGTGTATTCACCGAGTCTGTTCAGTGATCGTGACAGTGTCACACCGGCAGGGAGTTTCCAAAGCGGGGTTGAAGAAGGGCCAACTCGACCATCGCAGCGGGCTGGTATCTGAAATCTTCCGGCTCATCGACTGCTGCACCTCGATGCGCCTGAGCCGCATCGACTTACTCATGGCCCTAAAAAGCCTTCATGCCTTGGCATTGTTCTTGCTTGTTCGAGTTGATGCGTTGTTAGTCTTGCTGCAGTCGCTTTGCCATCCTCGAGAACGTTGGCCACTTGCTGTCCGAGGAGATGCGGCCCCTGATGAATCATGTTTTGGAGTTTTGGAGGCACCATGCGGCAACCGATTGAGCATGCGCTTGACAATTCACGTCCCTGCTGCTTGAGATGCTGCTGCCAGGAGTTTTCTCGCCGGGGCTTCGTGGTCCATTGGGCAAGCTGCCAGGCGAGGAATGTGGGCTTGCATGCTCCCCGTCTGCATTTCCAAGTCGCAGTGCTCAAGTGTGTGTGTGTGTGTGTGTGTGTGTGTGTGTGTGTGTGTGTGTGTGTGTGTGTGTGTGTGTGTGTGTGTGTGTGTGTGTGTGTGTGTGTGTGTGTGTGTGTGTGTGTGTGTGTGTGCGTGTGCGCGGGATTCTGATATTCTATTGTCTATGTACAATGTACATGCATAAAGATGTGACATGCCTGTGTATAATTACAGTGTTGCCTCCGACGGCTGTCACTGCCCAGATGAGACGGCAACGAGTGTTCATTTATGCTCGCAAGCCCGACTTCAAGCTCTTTGCCGCCGCTGGGAGAAGCTGCCGGATCTTGCCAGAGGCAGCAATGCAGGAGCAGGTGACCAAGGAGTGGAACATTCATGCGAAGCCCAAGTCCCTCGTTCGCTGGCTCCAGAGCTCGTTGGATAAAGTCGAGAACAAGCGCCTCGATGCTCTAGGTAACGTGGTGATACCACAGTGTGCCAGGCTAGCCTGTCACTTGTTTGGAAATATGGAGCTGCAGATGCCGTGACTTTAGAGTCCCTAGGCGCCTTGGCTCACGGGCCTGGGTAGTCATGGAAAGCTGTGCTCTCGGACACTGACTGGAGCTGGGGTGAAAGATGCTTTCGTGCGAAGATCATTATCATTCGTCGATTCCTCGATTGTCATGTATCACTGTTTCTGGTAGCTGCGGTCACGGCCTGTCCCCCTTGCAAAGTTAATTGTCTCTCTCTCTCTCTCTCTCTCTCTCTCTCTCTCTCTCTCTCTCTCTCTCTCTCTCTCTCTCTCTCTCTCTCTCTCTCTCTCTCTCTCTCTCTTTGTTTGTCTCTCCCACTCTGTCTCCCTCACTCACCCTCATTGTCGCTCTGACTCACGTCGTCCCACTCACAATCATGCAGTCACGGTCACAGTGAGTGACAGTGAGAGAGGCAACACTGGATGCAATCCGGAAGGTTGACAGTCCCTGTGTGGTTGCATTGCTTCTGACGCTGACTGACTGACTGACTGACTGAGTGAGTCTTCCTGGCGGCAGATTCGAGAAGTCCCTGGTATTGAATTCAATGTCGTTGGTCTGTTTGCGCATCGCAGCAAGAAGAGTGCACAACATGACCCCGGCCCCGTGTGTATGACATTGATACGTGACACCGAAGCAAAGTCTGAAGACGACTTCCCAATAACAAGCAAGAAGTTTGCAATGGTCTGTAAATATCCAGAACGGGAACACCTACCCCGAATCACAGCAATAAGTGTGCAGAACCTGGCCCCGTGTCATTCAATGAATAGCCGAATTCAAAACTCTTGATCATCTCGAAGCCCAGCCCCAGCTTCAGCTTAATTAATTAAACGAGGAGGTGAACATTGTCTTTAACTTTATCCTCGGTTCATGACGCTTCATGTCCTCCTGCACTGCGTTCAGCCCGCTTTGCTTGTGGCTTTGTTATCGGCAGGCAGGGCCGCGACGATAATTGCAAAATTTGGACCTTTCCTTACTTATTGCCCTCATGGGAGTGCGGACCAGTTCTTTTGGACGCGATACGCAGCTGCTTGCCTTGCAGGCTTTGGTGATGATGTCTCAGGCCCCTGCCCGGAGACCGCAAGCGGCCAGGCTTCTGCTACGTTATGGCTGCGAGATTCGGGAGTACTTGGGAAGCAACAAGTTCAACGATGCCATTCAGGGGAGGGTCGTCCTCAGTCTAAAGTGTTCTTTGCTTTTTCGCGCGGGGCTTAGGACCATTTCCAGGATGGCTATTCTCTTTCATTATCTGTTATAGGCTTTTGCTTACAGTTCGATGCTTGCTGGTCTGGTGCTGCTTACTCATCATTGGAAAGACGTCTCTCTCCATTGCCGGTCCAGTGCTATCCGAGGAAAGCGGTCCAGGACCGTTGAGTATCTATCGGATGACGAGCGACCTCCTGAGGTCGCAGCAGATGCTGCAGACACCACTGAGGCTGAAGCATCCACAGTGCAGCTGCGGCGGCCCGGCCGTGCGCGAGCCTCCCAGGCCAGGACCATCGACAGCCTGTCCGATGACGATCAGACGACTGATGGCTTGGCACGACGATCGAGTGATGCCACAGCAGATGCTCCAGACGCGGCTGAAGCATCCACAGTGCAGGTGCGGCGGCCAGGCCCTACAGGACTCTCCGAGGGACGACAGTCAGGCATTGGCCTGAGATCCAGACTACAACGGGTGGCACCAGCTGCCCACTTGTTGCAGTCGAGGCTCGTACAGCTGACGAAGCGCCGCTGCAAATGCAGAGGCCAGACATGTCTTCAGAAGCTTGCCGGCAACGTTGCTGGCCTCAAGAAGCTACGCCAAGAGCTCCGATCTCTTGACAAGAGAGATGCTGATGTGCGGATTCATGCAATGTTGACGGCATCTGCTACGCTGTCGCTGTCGGTGTTGCAGGTTCCGGTCTGCCAGATGGCTTTCAGAATGTTGCTGGGAATTGGCACGGCCCGCTTCCGGAAGCTCAGGCTTGCAGCTGCTGCACAAAAGCCCGCTCCGCTAGATGGCCGCTTCGGGCATCGCCTGTTCTTGACGAGGAACAAAGGCAGCAAGGCGAAGCGTGAAGTGGTTGTGCAGTTTCTCCAAGAGCTGTATGAGACTGCTGCTGAACCACTGCCCAATGTTCATGGCAAGCCTCCGGAGGAAGCAGCTGCACTCACGGCGGCTGCAAGGTTCGAGGATCGTCGCCCGGAGGGCCGTCAGTTCATGGCTTTTCGGCGCCACCGCGGCCGCCGGCCTCGAGTGGTAGCGAAACAACGAAAGCCCAAGACTGCAGCTGGTGCTCAGGAGATGCGAGAGATGCGCTGCCTCCCGCCAGGGACCTTCACCGACTATTTGAATCTGCTGAATGCTCGGCTGAATGCTGGGGAGATCAAAGGGCACGAGAACGTTCAGAAGATCAGCCTCAAGTTGTTCAACAAGGCTTATGTTCAAGTTCTCATTGCACGGTTTCCTGAGATTTTGATCTTATAAGGGTCAGTGTGCGAGATCATAATAATAGGAATGTGCAGTCACCTTCGGAGTGATCCATGTGGCATTCGCCACTGCTTTAACATCGAAACCTGCGAGGTTTGGTCCCAGTCGTTCCACAAGCTGCTGTCGATCCGTGAATATTCTCAGCACTCCAAGTGCGCCAGCTGCATGAGACACAAGCTGATTGTGTCCAGGCTGGGCAACGATTGGAAGGCGCGCCAGGCGCAGATGATCGCATACGGCTCCCACCTTCGTCGTCAATACGAAGACAGGGTTCAATATTGGGCCACACGAGCTCAAAGCCGGATCCGTGCTCTGAGCGTGCGACAATTGAGGACCATCTGCATCATTGTCGACTCCATCGATCACTCGAAACTGCGCTGGCCTCGCAGCCTGGTGCTGCAGAGTAAGGACTTCGCTTCGTTCAACAGACCGCACCTCACGTGCACAGGTGTAATATGCCACGGATACTCCGCTTTACTCTGTATCAGTGAAGGGCACGTGAGCGCCGACAGCTCTCGCACAACGGAGATCATCATGCACACCCTACAAAGACTGCAACGCGACATGGTGGATCTTCGGGCGTGCCAGCTGGTCATCCAGTCCGACAATTGCTCCAAGGAGGGTAAAAACAACACTCTCCTCCGAACATTGTCGGGGTTAGTCTCCTCGCGCCGCTTGGGCAGGTGTGAACTTCGCTATTTAGAAAGCGGCCACTCGCACGAGGCAGGTTCTCATGGAATTCTATGGGCTTGGGCGTACGACCACTGTTTATTGAATCAGTTTAGGTAGCCACCGAAGGAACTTCGATCGTTAGTCAAAGGCCCTGAGATTGATTTCCATTGCAGGACGTTGACGCGTGGTTTGGCTTGTTGGCAGGCTTCATAGAGCAGCACCAGGAGGTTGATTCTCCAGAAGCTTTCGTGGACCTTCTCAATGCTTTCTTGCATGCGCAGCCGCGCCCGCACGAGCAGGATCGAGCGGTGGTGAAGTTAGACCAGGTCAGAAACTGGTCCTTCGGTCTGGATGTGGCATTGAAAATGTAATGATGGTTTGATTGTGATTGTTTGTTGACTAGTAACAGACGCCGATCGATGAGCTCAAACCCGGCCTTGATTGAATCTTACACTCTGGCCTGCATTCAGTAAGGAAGCACTTTATGTCAGAGAGCACCCATCACGTGCACGTCAAGGGCATTGGCGGACCTGGCGCTCCACACGTGTTGGCACTCGACCTCTACGAAGACCTCCAAGCTGAAGGCCGAATTTGCCCAGAGCGTGTAGGCATAATAAGTCTCTGCCGGAGGCCACACGGGGATTTCGAGGGCTTCAGGCAGTCGGGTCTCCGCAGATGCTCAGTCAGTCAGTTTTGGGTTGCGACAAGAATACACCTGATTAAGTTTCACTCATAGTTCGAGCCCTAAACCCTAAACCTGACTGTGTATCAGCACCAGCTAGAAATTTTCTGCGACATCAAGAACATTAGCTTTGCTTTAACTCCAAAAGGTGCGCTTCAAGGAGTGCATGTGGACGGGCGTTTCTGGGCCAAGCGTGGCCATGCTGTGCAACGTGGAGACGTGTTGCTGAGGCGCGGTCGAGTGACACTGAAGTGATAGACACGGCTTTCCTTGGGCTCGGCTGCAGAAGCTCTGGGTAAGGAATCATGCGTCGTAAGTTCGAGTTTAGGTTTTTTTCGGAATCCCATTCCTACTGATTTAAGGAGTCCTAGTTCATCATCCTTGTCGGAGTCGATGCAAGCTTCGGGATATTATTATGGTGTACTGCAATCTCCAGCCACAGAATAACATCCATATGTCATTTGCAGAAGCCCAGCTCGCAAGATAATCAACTTTGAGCGGATCTACCGCTGCAAATTATTGTGGTATTTCTCTAAACCCTACAAACCTTATCATTGGACTGACTCTTGCGCCGGACAGGACGAAGCAGTGGATGAATCAGGCCAGCTTCGCTGGCACGGCGTTCAATTATCTGCCTGCAGCCGTCGCCCGTGCAATGATGGACACAGGCATGATTCCCGAAGGCCTTTCACTGGAAATGCATGCAGTTGTCATTCTTTTGATCAGTGTCATGTCATTCCCCACAGTTGTTGAAATTTCAGAATGCTTGAACCAGACTCAGAGTCGCAATGAATTGGGAGTGACAGAGACAGAGTTGGCTGCACTGCCTTGCCTGGGCAGTTATGAGCGTGGAGAAGAAGATGGAGACCAAAGCTGCGCCGAACTGGCGCAAGTATGCTGCCGTGCTGCGCCCCTCGCCTGCCAGCGATATCCTGATGTCAACTGACAGGGCTTAGCTTCAAATCCCTGAAAACCCTAAACCCTTCAAAACGAAACCCATGAGAGTCAAGCTTCAGACTATGCTTTTGCTGGGCTGGTAACTGGCACCTTCAGGCTCGGAACCGTTTCGTCGTCATGAAGCTGCGGACCGCCTGGAGCAACTGGCTGATGGTTTGGGCCCGCGGGGACCTCCGCTCGAAGTTTACAGGTGCCATCATTGAATGTTGTAGCACAGTGACAGTTGACACCGACAGACTAAATTTAATTTCCCATTCAAAGGGTTTCAAGGAATAATATTCCTTGGCAGGCTTTTGCCTGCGCCGGGTCCAGCAGTTGGCGGCCCTGGACCCGCAGGCAATGCAGCTCCGGTGGCCGTGGACTTCAACCCGGACCCCACGACATAATAAGAGTAATGATTCGACGACTTTAAGGTTTGTCGCGTGAGAAAAATCCTAAGACCTAAGCCTTATTCCTAAAATCCTAGACCCTAAGTCCTAAAACCTTAAACCCTAAATAATCTTAAACCCTAATTCCTATATAATTCCTAAACTTTAAACCTTAAGTCTCCAAATCTTAAACCCTAAATCAGCACTTGGAATTTGTAGCTTTGTGTAGCGTCTGCATCACCCTTTACTGAACTCCTGCCATCATTCTTTCTGGAACGGAAGGAGCCGAACGACTTGCGCTTGTGTCGTGAGCAGCCCGAGGCGTTGACGCAGTACCGTGCTGCACGTCGACGGGTGCATGTGTACAAAGCTGCAGCTCGCTTATGGGGCAATGGCATGCAATGGCCACGGGCCCTGGAGATCGCTACTGAGGCGTTTTCGGTCAGTGTTTGACTTCCGAACTGAGTGATAAAAACCCGGCATTTCATTATCATCAAGCCCTCTCAAAATAGACAGCTGCATTCGGAAAATGCTGATCGCAAAAGAGCCATGTCCTCAGAAAATCATCTCCTTAGAGAGAAGTCCAGGAAGTGATGAATGGAGTCGCCGTTCATCGCAAAAAGCATGGCTTCAACCTGTGTGCAAGCATGATTGGGTCATCTTCCGCACGCACTTGCCAATTGCAGGGTCAAAGCCAAGGGTTTTGTGATGAGCGAAGCCTTGGCTCATCACTTTGGGGCCTGCTGCTGCACCCAGGTCATTTCTGATGAATGGCCTCTTCGAGACCCTGTGGAATCCGAGGCACGGAAGCCAGTTTCTGAAGCCTCAACGTCTGTCAGTTGGGGGCAGGGAAATAGGATTGGAGTCAGCGGAGTGCATTTGTGATGAATCCAGCCCGGATTCATCACAAACGCGGTCCGCGTTCCGGGGACTGGATTTGTGATGAACCCGGACTAGATTCATCACAAATGCAGTCCGGGGATCCCCGGAGTGCATTTGTGATGAATCCAGTCCGCGTTCATCACAAACGCAGTCCGGCAGTCCGGGGAATTTCCGAAATCCCCGGAGTGCATTTGTGATGAATCCAGTCCGCGTTCATCACAAACGCAGTCCGGGGTTTTGGCGCGGAAATCCGCGGACTGGATTTGTGATGAGCCCGGACTAGATTCATCACAAATGCAGTCCGGGGAATTTCCGAAATCCCCGGAGTGCATTTGTGATGAATCCAGTCCGCGTTCATCACAAACGCAGTCCGGGGTTTTGGCGCGGAAATCCGCGGACTGGATTTGTGATGAGCCCGGACTAGATTCATCACAAATGCAGTCCGGGGAATTTCCGAAATCCCCGGAGTGCATTTGTGATGAATCCAGTCCGCGTTCATCACAAACGCAGTCCGGGGTTTTGGCGCGGAAATCCGCGGACTGGATTTGTGATGAGCCCGGACTAGATTCATCACAAATGCAGTCCGCGAAAATTCTGAAATCAGCGGAGTGCATTTGTGATGAATCCAGTCCGCGTTCATCACAAACGCAGTCCGCGGTTTTGGCGCGGAAATCAGCGGACTGGATTTGTGATGAGCCCGGACTAGATTCATCACAAATGCAGTCCGCGAAAATTCTGAAATCAGCGGAGTCAGTCCGCGTTCATCACAAACGCAGTCCGCGGTTTTGGCGCGGAAATCCGCAGACTGGATTTGTGATGAGCCCGGACTAGATTCATCACAAATGCAGTCCGCGGAATTTCCGAAATCAGCAGAGTGCAATTGTGACAGTGATTAATCCAGTTTAAACGCAGTTTCCTGGCCAGGAAGTTGGCAGAGTGTTATCAGACAGCAACCAATGCTGAATGTCCTGTTATATGAGAAATGACAGCGTGCTGCGTGTCGAGGCCATCATTGTGATGCTGTGGAGGTCGTGTTTCTGTGAGATATGATGAGACTCAGACAATTATAAACTAAGATGAATTTTTATGTGTGTATAATGATTGAAGTTTGGTGATGTTGTCTGGTCGCAGTGTTAGCCTATTATTGCTATTAATTTTGTATTAAGGCTTTGGAGGAATAGTAAGTCAAGATAATTCAGGTGCGGCATGGACACTTAGCAAGCATTGCTTCGTTCACCTACTCTCGTTCGTTTCTGCAGGCAATCCTTTTTGAAAACAGTGTTTGTGATGAACCGAGCCCGGATTCATCACAAAATTCCGGGGTCCTCACGGTCCCGAGGCCATTGTGATGCTGTGGAGGTCGTGTTTCTGTGAGATTTGATTAAAGTTAAAATATGTCATGTGTGTGTGTGTGTGCTACGATTGAAGTTTTGGTGATGTTGTCTGGACACAGCCTTAGCCTATTGATACTAATTTGGTAGTAAGGCTTTGGAGGAATAGAGAAGTCAAGAAAATTCAGGTGCGGCATGGACACTTAGAAGCATTGCTTCGTTCACCTACTCTCGTTCGTTTCTGCAGGCAATCCTTTTTGAAAACAGTGTTTGTGATGAACCGAGCCCGGTTTCATCACAAAATCCCGGGGTCCACGCGGCCCGGAATTTATGACGCGGCTCCGGGGGGAATGGGGCAGCAGCTGGGGGTGAAAACAAGCTTGGGGCCTGAGACTCCCAAACGTTAGGAGTGCAATCAATGATTATCATGCATTCTGAGTTGGCGTCGGGCATGATTGATTGTCATTGACTATGGTCCTATGTTGCTGTAATTGGCGTGAGTTCTTCGCTTCAACTTCAAGCCGTGCAGGAAGACGATACATCGAGAATCCACCTCACAGTCGCGGCCTAAGGTGGAGGGCGATTTAATCATCAAATTCAGGTGCGGCATGGACACTGGCGCTTAGTAAGCAGTGCTGTGGTCGGATATCGTCGTAAGCATCTCTGCAGGCAATCCCGAAGACAGTGTTTGTGATGAACCGAGGCCGTGCTCACAAAATTCTGGGAACGGGAAGGCCTGGTTAAGTGGGTGATGGGGGTTGCACGCCTGCCCGGGGACTGACTTGGTCCTGGATCGAATTTCTGTTGAAGCTGGGCCTGGATTGTTCAGTGTCCGTGTTCCATGACGGGATTGGCCTATGTTCTGCACATCAGTTTTTTATTATAAAACTAACCAAAACAAGATTCAAGCGGCGCAGGAAGATCGGGCTCCACATTGAGTTTACTTCAGACCTGCCGGATGCACAGCCGCAGCCCAAGGTGCCAGATTAATAGGCAAACAATTCAGGTGCGGCATGGACACTTAGCAAGCATTGCTTCGGTCACCTGCCGTCGTTGATTTCTGTAGGCAATCCTTTTTGAAAACAGTGTTTGTGATGAACCGAGCCCGGATTCATCACAAATTTCCGGGGTCCGCAAGGCCTAGAAAATGC